GCATTCATCAGTAGCGAAGAGCTTGGCCATGGAGCACAGCACAGCCGCGTCCTCCCGTCCCTCCTGCAGTGCCCGTGCTGCATTGCGAACCATGAGCCGTGCTGCCACCAGGCGCGTCGCCATCTCCGCCAGCTTGAACTGCAGGTACTGCCAGCAGGCAGCACGAGAGGAAAAATTAGGTCAGCATCTTTGGAGGGGCCTGGGTCCCAAACCACATCCCCACTACCTTCAGGCAGCTCTCAGGCCTAACAGACTTTCTTACTCAGGAAAAGCATGTTCCTGACTTCTCCAGGGAAGACCCTGTGAAGTGAGTGATGGGACCTCTGGCCACTTGTTCAAGCCAAGATCAGAAAAAGCACAGCTCTGGGAGTGCAGATCTGGTGGAGAGGTTACCTGATTGTTTGCTAGGGGTTCTCCGAACTGTTTGCGGACAGTGAGATGTTCCTGAGCCAGAAGAACAGAGGCATGGGCGGCTCCTAACGAACAAGAAGCTGGTGGGAGAAGCCAAGGACACAGCGTGAATATGAAGCTAATGCAGATGGGCAATGAGATGATTCTGCCCTCCTCACTTGGCGCTCAGCTCTTTTCTTACCAATATTTATCCTGCCTCCATTCAGTCCCTTCATGGCAATGCTGAAGCCCTGCCCTTCAGCTCCCAGCCGGCTGCCAACAGGAACAACGCAATCCTCAAAGATCACTGCCCGAGTTGGCTGGGAATTCCAGCCCACCTAGGAAAAAAAAGAGCACCTTCCAGACTGCCTGCGGAGCAGCACACCTCCGGCTCCCAGCAGAGCACTGCCCAGCCTGCCCTCACCCCCTCGGTCCCATTGCCAAGCTGCCACAGAGTGCCTGTGGTCTACGTGGTTTGGCCTCAGTGTGCTGAGCTGGAAACTGGAGTGCATGCACTTGAGAAGAGGCAGAGATCCAGCAAACCTTGATGTTCCTGAGATTAAAATCCTTCACTTACCAAAGGGACGGCTATTGGGCAAACTTCACCAAAGCTGGGTTTGGCTTGTAAAAATCATGCCAGGCTGGGACTCGTCTCAGTCCCGCACTTCTCTCAAGCGCACAGATGTAAAACCCAAGCCTCTTACCTTCTTCTCTTTCTTGCCAAAGCTGAGCCCCGGTGTCCCCTTCTCCAGCACCAGGCAGGAGATGCCCTTGGGACCTGGGCCTCCCGTACGACACATGACCACGTACACATCTGTGTCGCCTCCCCCACTGATGAAGGCCTGCAGAAGGGCACAAGAAGAAAGGGCTGCCTGGTGTATGCTGGCCCTGAGCCTGCAGCAGCAGCTGGGGTACAAAGAGCCCCCGGCCAGGAGGTATTTAGGGACCCAACTGTACTAAGCTCTGGTGAATGCTCTGCAGAGCATGTCCTACCTTGGGAGAACAGAGAGAGAGGAGGAGAGAGTAGGAAATGGGAAGGAAGGCATTGTGCATGCAGTGCCATCCAGCAGCCTTAGGAGGAACAAAGAGGTACCTTGGAGCCGTTCAGGACGTAGGTGTCCCCTTTCCTCTGAGCTGAGGTCAGCAGGGAAGCGGCGTCACTTCCACTTCCTGTTGGAGAGGTAAGGGAGCAGCCAGTGAAGCTGCAGGTCCAGGGCCTGCAAACTCTCTCGGGATTGTAGCCAACGACACTCGGGTTTGTACCACGAGCATCTCAGCAATCATCATCTGCCCCTTCCCAACTCCCCAGCCCAAATGAACACGAGAAGAGACTTTTCACCTCCCACTCCATGCAATGTTCATGTCCAGGTAAGCCACGTTAGGAGTGAGGGAAGGGAGAAGATTTCTGGTTGAGGATGCTCACCTGGCTCAGTCAGGCAGTAAGAAGCAAATTTTTCCATGCTACAGAGCGATGGACAGAACCTGTGCCTCTGTTCCTCATTGCCAAAGGTGTCGATCATCCAAACACACATGCTGGAGCAGGAGGGAAGGAGCAGCATTACAGTACACGAGCACAGCCCCGGGAGGAAGGTGGGTTATGCAAGAACACCCCTGGCTGAACAGAACACAGCTCCGTGGAGTTCAGTCAAAAGCACCAAGGCTTGAAAGTGCATTGCTCCACCTCTGCGGCAGGTGATCCGAAATATCCCCGGAGGCTGCCCTCCTTCCCCCTGCCCCCATGCACGCTGAAAGGGAACAAAATTACGTGCCACGGAGGCCGGGAGGAAGGAGATCGCCTTCCATTCACCACAGACTCACTGCCTCGTGGAAGAGCAGGTTCCTATTTAACAGCCTCGGCGTTGCCCTCGGCACTAAGCCCCACTGTCCCTTTGGAAGGCTGTACTTGCATCATCACCCCACCTTCCCGTGCAAAGCGAGCCCGCCACTGAACATGTCTGTGCAAGCAGGACAGGGCTCTGGTGTCAGCTCTGGGCTCTGTCACAGCACAACCAAAGCACAAAGGCTTTTTCCAGGCAGGTTACTATCTATAGCCAGCTTAAATGGAAGAGTAGGGAACAGAATCCAGAACTTAATCCCATCTTGCATGACACAAAGCTAAAATTACTCCTTGGTGGTATCTCAATTTTTGTAGCCCATTTGTTTACCGCTGTCAAGAGATCCTCACAGGGACGCATCTACTTGGGGTCCCAACTTTTAATAACAAGCAGCACCGAGAGAGCTGTCTCCCGCTGGATTTAGAGCCCAGAGAAAAAAATACGATCTCTAGCCAAGCTGACCCCATCCACCGCTCCGCAGACACACTCACTTGTGGATGCTCATATAAGCAGTGGTGCTGGTACATCCTGTTGATAAAGCTTCAAAGATTATGGAGGTATCAAGTCGTGACAATCCAGAGCCACCCACATCTGGTTTTACGTAGATCCCACCGAATCCTAGCCGGGCTGCCTTCCGCATTGTTTCCACAGGGAATATTTCCTATTAGGACAGGCAGAGACACCGCAAGTGAATATTTGGGATCAATTCCATCTCAATATTCTTTCTGGGCTACCAAGTCCAGTCCCAAACTCCTGCAGAGTTTAAGTTAATTGGGTGGGTTAAAGAAGAAGCAGATATCTGGATGGATACGTAGCACCTTCAGGAGTAAATTTGGGTTTTCAGATGATTGAATAGCCTGGCTGGGAAAGCTTCAGGGAATTTCTGATGGCCTCCCACCCCAGCTACAGCAGCAGCTTCAAAGCAAATCTCCACAGATGGCATTACAGCACTGGGCAGCTATTGTGGGAACCCCTCTGATGAGACCCAAGGATAAGGCCAGGTTGGACAGGGCTGTGAGCAACCTGATGTGGTTCAAGGTGTCCCTGCTCCTGCAGGGGGGTTGGGCTGGGTGACCTCTGGGGGTCCCTTCCCACCCAAACCATTCTATGATTCTATAACAATAAGAATTTATTTATTGTTATTTATATTCTATAAGGGAGGAAAACCTGAGCAGTACAACCCTTCGGAGGCTGTCATACCTTCTCATCCCACTCAGCCATGTGAGGAGCCATCTCCTTGGCAGCAAAATCAAAGGCAACTTTTTGGAATTCCTTCTGCTCCTCAGTCAGGCCGGCGGATGCTAGGAAAGCAGGGAGGGACGAGGATGCGTGTCAGTTGGGGGGAAGCAAGCAGTGCCACCTCTTCTGTAGCCCAAACTGTCCCGGCCTGTCCCTCAGCTCGCACGAACCCGGGGGCTCTGCTGCAGAGACCGTTTCCCTGTTCCTCGGGGCTGACCGCGGGCTTGGGGAGGGGGCTTTCTCAGGACAAAATAAACGCGGGGTCCCAGCTCGCTCTCTCCCCCCGACGGGGCAGGGCCCAGGCTTACAGGCGGGCACAGCCCAGCCTGCCCCCCCGCAGCCTTTCACCGAGCCCCTCTACCC